GGGAGTTGCTTTACCTCTCTGAGCCTCAGTTTCCTTATCTGCACAACGGAGCCATATTACTTACTTTTAATGAGCGGTAGTAAGGATTATATGAGCTAAGTAAATTGCCACGGTCTGAGCCTGTCAAAATCACTCATTTTTCATTTTGTTTGCCTCCCTCCAGGATTTTTTTTAAACCTTGTGTCTGCATAAAGCAGTAGATGTACCTAGATCAATAAACTACGTTCTCTGCTGAATGGAAAAATTTACTCTGAAATTTTCTAAACTGTCCATGTGCTCTGGGAGAATGGCCTGGAGGCATGCACGTGCTTCTCACCAAGACAACTAGGGAAAAGACCTGCTGCTCTTTGGGACTCAGGGAGGGAGGAGGCAGGGGGCGGTGGAACAGAGAAGGAGTATAGTAAGGAGAGCTGGCGGTCAGGGGTCAGCCACCAGAGTGGTTTGGGCTCCCGAGCCCTCTAGGGACCGCTAGTCCCAACATCCAGCTCCCTGCCAGGGACAATCCTCGAGCTGTTGGGGTCCCCAGGCCACCCTTCCTCACCAGGATCCCCAGCTCCCGGTCAAACCCACACCAGCTGCCTCTCTGCCTCCACTCCTCTCCCACTGACAGCATTTCTCTCTTTCCTGCCTGTCTCCTCCCCCGGCTCCAAGTTCCTCAAGGGACTGAGTCAAACTCACTTTTGCAACCCCAGCACTGAGCCCAGTGCCGGCACATAGTAGGTCCAACTTGAGCTGCACTGGAGTCATCTGGAGGGCTGGTTAAAATGTACTGCTGGGCTCTGTCTCCAGAATTTCTGATGCTGCTGGTCCCAGGAGCACGCTTTGAAACCCACACAGTAGATGCTCAATAAAGTCAGTGTGAGAGGTGAATGAATCGCTGGCGTGTAAGAACCACTCCAGATTGGACCTTCTTCCTGGGTTCTTACAGTCAGGCTCTCAGCCTGCCTCCTGCGTAAAGCTCTCCCTGACCCCAGGACCCTGGGTATCGATGCTCTCTCCCTATGCTCCTCTCTTTCTTCAGAGTCAGATGCACATGCCCCATGCCTGTGCAAGCCTTGGCCTCCCAGAGCGGGCTCTTTCTGGTGAGGAGAAGGCAGTCAAGGCCATCGCGGCATTGTTCACTGAGCCAATAAGGCAAACCCCACAGTGACCGCTCCCTCGGCCCCCTCCCCGCCCACACCTGGGTCACCAGGCCCACTGTGGACTGACGGAGAAGACAGGAGTGGTAGCCAGAGACCACACAGATCCTGGGTGCCCAGAAGCTCCCAACACCCCGACTTGGGAGATCTTACCAGAGGACCACGTTCCCTGGACGACAAGAATTCAGACAGCCTGACTCCACATCCGGGATTCTCTTTCACTACCACAAACTGACAGCCAGGCCTAAAAGAACTGCTCACTGGAACGGTTCGTCACCACCCACTGCCAGCACATAGGCAGGACGTGGTCAGTGCTGGCTGGAAGGGAAAAAGGGGAAGGAGGAAGGCCCAGTGGTCAGCACCAAGGCCAGGGGTTTGAAGCAGGGAGGATGCTCCAGCCCCAGAGTCCCCATGCTGCACGCCCCCAGGGCACCATTTACATTGCCGTCCCTGTGAACAGTACCTCTGCAGTTGTGCAGTGCACAACCTGTGCACTTTGATGCAACAGTTGGTCCTACCAATCCTCATCTGGAAAACCTCCTCATTCGTTATTTCCTGAATACCTATTATGCACCCAGTACCTAGCCTGGCAGGTGGCTCTTGGGGCTCTTAGAGGAAAGGTCAGCTACACCCTGCAGCAAGGAGCAAAGTGCCTGAATGAGGGCATGCCCAGGCACTGGGGAAGCCAGGGAGAAGTGGCCTATTTCTGCCCAGTGAGCTCAGGGCGCTGGCAAGTGGGGGCAGCCAGCTTCCCATGGGCCGCTTAATCCAGTCAGGATCAGGCAGCAGCAGCTGAATCTGCAGCCTCAGCATCTGAGGTTGGGTGACTACCTGCTTTCCAGGGACACTTGGAGGTGCAAACCCTGGGACCAGATGGGTCTTGTGGGCTGTGGCTGCCCCTCACCCCCTCCTCCTGCCATGGTGTAGCTTTGCAGCATCAAGGATCAGACCCCCCTACTCCTGGGCAGGGGAGGTGTGGAGGCAGGGAAGGGACAGAGGCAGCCAAGACACACAGAGGCAGCTCCAGGGGCTTCTGCCAAGGAGCTCGGCCTGCCTCACGTGGCCTGATTCCTGGGCTTCCTGGGGATGCATGCTTCCCCGGCTTTGCCTAGCTGACGGGCCACCTTTTTCCAAGAAGTCTCTGAGGGGCCCTCCCCTGACCTTCAGCAACCTTGTCCTCTGGACTCCCGAGGACATGGAAAGTCAGCTTCCACTCTCCAACTGCTCTGTGTGGGGAGGGTCAGGCAATTACTTCCCAAACTCCCGCCATGCTGACCTCTGACTTTTTCAAGAGTCACCAAGAACTCAAAAGGCTGCTCCAGGCAGCCCTGGGAGACCTCCTGGCTTCCTCCCAGGCCCTTAAGGACAGAGGGGACCTCGCACTCTGGGACTCACTCTGCACTTCTGTCACGTTACCGTTGACTACACACAGTGGTTCGTGTGTCTCTCACCCCCCCAGACTAGGGGCCACTTCTTACCCATTTCTGTGACTCTAACACCTGGCCTGGGGTCTGGCACCAAGTAGGTGTTCATTTCATGTCTGTGGCTTGAATGACTTCACTGCTGGATTCTGTGCCTGCGGGCAGAGTATGCTTGTGAATCCTGGCTGCTCCCCCCAGAACAGCTGGGGCCCTCCCGTACCCGGTGCTGATTAAGTGACACCCAGAATTTCTCGTCCCTACTGAAGCCTGAACATAGCGTTAGACCTGGTCAGGCATTTCTCTCTTTGAGAAACTCAACAGCGCAGAAGACTAATGCACAGATGTGTTTAAACGCTGCAGATAAATAGCCCGGTCTACGGGCTCATCTCTGGCCACCTCACCCAGACCTCGTGCTTTTTCCTGCCCAGGTCACAGATCTAATCTTTCTGCCTGAAAAGTCCCTTCCCTCCAAAAGACAAAATTCAAGATCCAGCAGAAAGGCCACCTCCTCTGTGAAGCCCTCACCCTACCTCCTCTTAGAGGCAGGATTAATCCCCGCTTCTCCGGTCCACTGGGCTCTCTGCAGCACAGGTAACCAGGTGGAACCAGCACACAATGGTGGGTCCTTTCCCTTGGAGGTCCAAGGGAGGCTGGTGGTGGGGTCCCTAGCCCCCCATAATCTCCATCACCCTTCCCCATGTGCTAATGTTAATATCAATACCAATACCTTTCGATATGAACAATTCACGTTTTCCAGTTAGGCAAAATGAATAACAGCTTCTGTAAAACATTCTCCATTTTACGGATCTGAAATCAACCGAGTAAAAAGCTGGCTACTTGCCAGGCAAACAGAAGCAGCTTTCGGGGAAGTTGCCTAATTCCCCCTTCCCTCCCCCGACTGCCCCTACAGCTGCTTCATGTGGCAATCCCGGGCGTCCCCGGGACCGTGAGGTTCACCCTTTCAGCTGAGACGTCTCGTCCCAGCAGCCAGCAAGGGTCTGGCACTTGGCATGTCTGCCATAATCAGGAGTCAAATGAAGGCAAGGTACTGTGAGGCGAGGCCAGACTCACCCTGTGGAGAGAGCCTGACCGCGGACTCGTACATGCGGGTTCGACGTGTGGAAGGCTGTCGCTATGTCATTTTGCAGATGAGAAAACCGAGGCCCAGTCAGGACTTCCTTCAGGCCCCAAAGTTGGCTCTTGCCCTAGTCCCGTCCAGTCCCTGCATTCAGCCTTGTCCAGGGAGGTGAGGCCGGGTGGCTCATTGCTGCCGGCATGAGTAATGCCAGTCCCCTGGTCTACACTGGGCTCTGAGGTGGTCCACTCCTTCCTCTCTGCTTTCCCTCTGCCCTGCTGAGCAGCCAACTCATACTTTCCAGCCTCTCATTCTCGGGCATGTTTCTGCAAATCTGGGGCTGCCCACTAGCCTAGATTCCAAACCAGAGTGGCACAGGTCCCAGGCCCTCCCTCCCTCCCCGTCAGGCTGAGGGGTCCCCGGGGCAAGAAGGAGGCTCCACCCAAGTCCAGGTCCCCCTCCCCGACCCCGCAGTGACCTGAGGGGAGACAGGATAGAGGCTGCCAGTCTCAAACCAGGGTTAAAAGCCGTGTTAGAGCCACACACATCTTAATTGCTGCATTTCTGTTTTCTCTGTGGGCATTTTCCCTTTCTGATGGCCTCTTACAAACATTTTACTGTTACATTTCTTGTAATACTGCCTGGAATCGTTATTTAGACATCATAAAAAAAATCATTATATTTTTAAAAGGAAGGCTGAGAAGTTCCTACAATAGAGAATACAAAGAGCGGGGCACACACACAAACACATACACGAGCCGATCCACACACAAACACACACACGTGCAAGTTCGGTCTGACAGAAGAGAGAGGTTTATCACCACACCATTTTGCAAAATAGAAGTGAATGAATAATTTATAGGGCTTTTTACAAACATCTAGATTTTCGAATCATTCTGGAAAAATCCAGTTTGATTACTTGCAGCAGCAGTGCTGTGATAAACCAACCCAGAAATGGTTACCAATAAGTAAAATTTACTATTCCCAACAGGCCAGCCTTCCACAGAAAGGCATCATAAACACTAACATCTCTTTTTTTTTTTAACAGCAGAACCCACAAAGCCGTGGCTCACACCAACTGAAGGTACCCTGTGTGATAAATCCTTGAACCCTCTACTCTGAAAAGATTCCTGACCTAATGTGCAGATGGCCATATTTCCCATTTTATTTTGGGAAGAACTTTGTTACCCTGCGCTCTTTGCTGCCAGTTGCAAACAGCGGCACCTGAATCGAGGCCAGGCAGCTCTGGTTGCCTGACTCCCTGAGATGCCAGGCCCACCTGAGCAGGCCAGGGGGTGGCAGAGTTGGGACAAGGACCCGCACGCTACCCATGCCATCGTGGATCTGTGCCCTCACCAGACTTACCAACAACAGGCTGGTGGGACATCTGGCTGGTGTGAGGGTCTGAAAGTCGAGTCCCTTGACAACCCCAGTGGGATCCGGGCCACCCCTTGTTGCTGGGGTCTCCCTCCGACCTGTGGACAGCCTGACTTGGGGTTTGAAGTCAGGACTCAGGCTGATCTTCCAAGGGCGAGGGACCTGCCAAGGGTTTGGAGAGCTGGGCTGCCGCCCCCTCCGCCCACACTCCAGCTTCTGGCTGCAGGGACGGGACCGGGAGTGGTGACTGATGCTCGGTTACAGAGTGCACTGTGAGAGCACGGCGCTGGCCTGATACTTCCTGTTTGGGGAGGAAACCTCACTGGGGATCATTAGTGGCTCAGACTCAAGTCTCTTTGCTACAGGAACTGAGGCAGGACAGCCAGCAGAACTCAGGATGCATAAAATGAATAAGTGTCATCCAATGTAGGGCAGATTGCCTCACCATGGGGGTGTGTGTGTGTGTGTGTGTGAGAGAGAGAGAGAGAGAGAGGGAGGTGCGTTTACTCTTTGGGATACAAAGCCAAACATAATAGCTGCAGAAAGTGGCAATTTATCAATTGCTATGGGGGTAATTTATTGCAATCACTGTGGCTGTCACTGGCTTAGTGATAATTCTCTCAGCATTTTGTGCCAACAAAGGCTTTCTGGCCATCTTTACCTGCTAGTCAGTGCCCACGGTGGGGAGAAAGACAGACAGAAGAACCCACAGACAGATGACAGCAGTGTCACAAGGGCAAAGCATGGACGGGTACGTGCCTGCTTGTATTGATGGCATTTCCAGTTCACCCCGAGGCCACACCAACAGCCCAAAGGGAGGCCGGAGGTCTGGAGGCTTCGGTATCATTGAGGTAAATTACGCTAAGTCCAGTCTCAGGACAAGTACCTTCAATTGTTTTCGACTTGTTTGAAAACTGGCCATCTCGGAAAATGGCGGCTCTGAGTAGCCCTGGGCATTTGACAACCAGAATACACACCACAGCTCCGGGCAGCTTTACTCTCTTATTTCTAGCAACAGAAAAGGGCCCACGTGGTTCTCCGCCTGCTGTGGCCCTGTCTTGTCTCTCATGGGGAGGGAGTGTTCTTGAACCTCCCGGAGTCCAGCGCAGGCCTGCACGTCCACACTGACCTTCCCTACTCAGTCCATCGTCTGCCACCCCTCCTTCCAGCCCCTGCTGTCCCCATGTCCCCGTGTCTGCCAATGCCGTTACCTCCACCTCAAGTCTTGACATCCTCCTGGCCATCTAAACCCCCCTTCCCGGAGGACGCACCCGAGGCTTTGGGCCCCTCCCAGCCCTCAGAGCCCCACAACCACCTCTCCCGGCTCCGAATTCAGAGGCAGCTGCGTTCGTCAGGGGACCTAGTTAAACAGCCCTGGGTGTGGATTCAGGGCAGCCATGGGTGGCAGTGTGACCTCGGGCAGGTTACTCTCTCTTCTGACGATTAAGCAAAACAGTGAACGTGATACCCCCAAACCCACGTCTCGGAACTGCTCTGGTTGCACGTTTCCTGGGCTCTGCTGTGGCCACTCCCTGCGTGCAGCCTGGACTCTTCTCCCTCTGCTGCCTGGGGGTGTTCTGCATCATCACCCGGCTGGACCATCAGCTCCCTGAGGGGGGACCTGCGTGCCCTCCACTGCTGCGCATGCACACACCCCGCACAGCGCACTCTGCTCACTGCGAGGCCAGCGGGGCTCAGGCAGTGCCCTCAAACGTTAGTTAATACCAAATGACGGGGTGGGGGGCTAGGCAGCAGGTTTCTGGGCAGCCCCAGGCCCAGAGCCCCTGATTCAGTAGATGGGGGCGGGGGGCGCAGTCCTACCTGTTCTTGTCAAAGCTCCAGGGTGGCCTCCGATCCCCTTGCAGAAGCTGCAGTCATGAAACCACACTTCCTCGTGAACACAAACCCTGCAGGTGTGAGTGGACAGGTGTCTAGTGGTTCCCAGAGACGTCCAGGCCAGCTGCGATTCCCGGTCGCCTGGGGTCCTCACGGAGCCCTGAGCTCCCCTCAATCTTGGGAACCCCGTCACCCCTCGCCACACACAGCCACGCCAGGTCAGAACGTTCAAGAATTGCAGCAAAGGTTAGGAGAGGACAAAAAGCAGCCATGTCAGCACTCACCACTGCCGAGCGCTGTCAGATCCTGACTTCCGGCCCTGCAGTCCAGGAACACCCAGGGTGGAGGCGGGGAGAGCTTCCCTGATAGAAGTTCCCCAGCCCTCATCACAATCCTCGGCTCCCCAGCCCAGCGCCGTCTTGTCTCCCTCCCTTCCAGTTCCGGGGCCACCTTACTTCTGGCCAGTCTGGAGCCATCTCCATGGACCAGCCACAAAAGGCCTGGTCTCCCCCGTCGCCACTGCTCAGCCATTCACCCAGCCATGTGGCTGATCCACTGGACAGTGGTGACGGACCTTCTGCCCCACTGTGTCCAATGCACTACTGACCCACGTACAGGCCCCGCCGGCCATCCAGAAAGCCTCAGCACAGGCCCCTCAGATGCCAAAAGGCCCACTCGGGTGACTCCGCTGGCCCGGCGTCTGCTCATCCTGTCTCTGCAGACTCCACCTGGCGGGCCCCCCTCACAGCCACCTGGACCTCCCTGACACCCTCCAGCTGTGTGTCCGGAGTGATTCAGCCCTAGAAAGACCCTCACCCCGATGGCAGGGCATGCTGTCACCCGCCCAGGCCCACCAGTGAAATCACAAGCCTCCCCTCCCCACAGCCTGAGGGCCACATCACAGGCGTCGGCTGCTAGAGGAACAGGAAGGACATTCCATCACAGACCCCTGCACGCGGGCTCCGGGAACCTGACGTCTACACGTGGACCACGACGGCCCCTTCTGCCATGCAAAACCACGTAGGCCCATTCGTGGGTCCCCAAATTCCTTTACATTTACTTGTGATGGATTTTATCATCTTGGGACTGTAGTTTTGACAGTTTAATCTCCTAATCTGATAGCTCCAGAAGGTTTGAAAATGTGCTGTTTGCTTAGAGCCCAGCTGGCTCTCATGAGCGGAAGAGGGAGACAGGAATAAATGACTGCCTGATTGCAGGACAATTAGTGCTCACCTGGTGCACGTTCTGCCAGGTGACGATGGTGATTTATGAGGACAGACTGATTGGGAAGAGCCGAGCATTAGGCAATTCTCCAGTGACAGTGTTCTTATGTGGCTGAAGCAACTGAACCCTGGTCCCCCCAGAACAGCTTTATGGAGAGCCATCCACACCAGAAGGAGGAGGAGGGAGCCATTCTGCCCGGGGGGAGGGGACCATGCAGGAGTTTATGATTCACCAGCAACTGTGGATCCTATCCTGACAACAGGCACAGTGGTCAATACCCCCAGCTCAGGGGGAAGGTCTCCAGCTTTGAATCCTGGCTTCCATTAGCTGTGGGACCTGGGCCTCAATGATGCTGTTTCCTCCTTTGTATTCAGAAATAAGTGAAGGAAATAGTATGGAGGTTCTCCAAAAAATTAAAAATACAACTACCATAGGATCCAGCAATCCCCCTTCTGCAGATCTATCCGAAGAAAATGAATACAGTAACTCGAAAAGATTTCTGCACCCCACGTTCACTGCAGCATTATCCACAGAAGCCAAGACGCAGAAACGACCTGAGTGTCCATTGATGGATGAATGGATAAAGAAGATGTGCTACACACACACACACACACACACACACACATATTCACAAAATGGAATACTATTCAGCCATAAAAAAGAAGAAAACCCTGCCATTCATGACAACATGGATGCACCTTGAGGGCATTATGCTAAGTGACATAAGTCAGACAAAGACAAATATAGTATGATCTCACTTATATGTGGAATCTAAAACAAAAAAATCCCAAAAACTGAATTCACAGATACAGAGAACCAATTGGTGGCTGCCAGAGGCCAGCGGGTTGGGGTGGGCGTGAAATGAGTGCAGGTGGACCAAAGGCACAGACTTTCAGTTATAAAAACAAGCCCTGGAGATGTAATGTACAGCATGGTGACTAAAGTTAATGATATTGTATCGTAGATTTGAAGGTTGATAAGAGAGTAGATCTTAAAAAGTTCTCATCACAAGAAAAAAATTTGTAACTATGTGGTGATGGATTTTAACTAGATCTATTGTGGTGATCATTTTGCAATATATACATAGATTGAATCATACATAATCATCATATATTCAATCATACATATATTGAATCATGTACACCTGAAACTAATATACTGTTACGCGTCAATTATATCTCAGTAAAAAAAAGAAAAAAAGGAAAAAGCAGAAGGTGTGAGTTTCTGTAGGGTGATAAATGACTCAATCTGCCAGAACTGGGACTCAGCTAGGTCTTGAAAGCCTGGCACAAAGTTAATGCTTGGGAAATGTTTGTTGAATGAATAAACGATGAGGCATAATTTGGACAAGCATATATAGTTAGTGGTTAGGAGCCTAAAGTTCGGGGCTGAACGAATAGAATAGATTGGAATATCGTGTGATCTCTGGAAAGATACATGGTTGGGAGAATAAAATTATCTATCTCATAAGAGAGTGGGAAGGTTGAAATGGGCTCACATGTAGAACACACTTGGCCCAGGGGCTGGCACGTGGGAAGCGGAATGTTCAGTGACACGAGGACCGTCATCTCAGGTGTGATGGGTGTGGTCCCCACATCAGGCCAAGGATGTGAAGGGCTGACATGCAGAGGTTGGGAACCGTAGGTGGTCAGGTGGGCCCAGCTGCAGGGGGCCCACAGGAGGAAGTGAGATTTCTGTGCCGAACATTTGAGAACCACCTGACCCCACCCCACCCCTTCCCCTCTGCAAGTTCTGTGACCCTCCCAGCCTCCTGGATTGGGCCTGGGTTGGTGAGGGTAGGATAGGAGTGGGAAAAGAAGCACACACCCCTCCAACCCCCAGAGGGAGGAAAGGAGCCAGCTTGGCGTTGGGTTTTAATAACTGCTTCAACTGGCAAACTTCCCTGTTTTAAGTCCACAGGCCTGTTCCCAGCCCAGATGCTAGAAAGCAATTTCATGGAGTGCTTAACTTACTCAGCTTGGGCCGCCCACCCTAGGGAGACAGGGCCACTGTGCATGGCGGGGAGGGCAGGAAGGGGTGGATCCAGCCTCAGCTGGGGGTCCTGGGAGCCTGGACATCACTACATAGCCTGCTTCCCTCCCCCACCCCAACCTTCCTGAACATCACCCCAGCCTGCTGGGGTTTTGGTTTGCAGGCTGGACAGGGAATGAAGCAGGAGGCCCAGACTTCTCCCAGGCTAGGAGGCATCAGCCAGGACTCTGAGAAGGGAGCCCAGAGGCCTGGGCCCAAGGCCAGCTCTGTCACTGAGAAGGGGACCCTGGAGGCTACTCTCTGGGCCTTAGTTACCTTCCCTTATGAACTAAGGGGTTGGGACTAGAAGAGCAATGAGCCTGGAAGGTCCCCAGCCGACTGACACTCAAACCTTGGGGGAGGCAGAGGGATCTGACATTACCGCACTCCTACAACTCAGTGAAGCCCCCAGGCAGGCATCATTGTCCCTGTTTCATAGGAACAGCAAGTGCAAAGCCCTTAACAAGGTTTTACAGGTGAAGAAACAGGTTCAGAGAGCTGAGGTCTCGGCCAAGGTCACATGGTAAAGAGCTGCCATTCAGACTTGGGGCCCTCTGACTCCATAGCCAGGTGCTCTCCCCTGCAGTTAGTCAGTCAGTCAGTCAGTCAGTCAGTCAGCTTCAGCTGCCCCTCTCCCAGCCCCCACCCAGCTCAGGTGTGCAGCTTTGGACTTTGGTCCTTAACTTTCACTTTTTAACTGCCTGAAGCCCTGCCCAATGCTCTGGAGTCCAAGGAGGGAAGAGCCATGGAGCAATGACAGGACACACGAACGGGAGAGAAACCTACCTGTCTGGCATCTCTAGGCTGTAGAGGGCACACCTGGGGTCCCAGTGTGACCAGGCCAGGTCCTGGAGAGCTCAGGCTTGGGTCTAGCTGTCCAAACCTCTAGTGAACAGGTGACCCAGCCTGAGCTCCCTGCTCGCTCTGAGGCCAGTGTCACCCCATGCCAACTTCAGGCCTTCCTCCCAGGTCGCCTGGCTGAGGCCACCTGTCCACCACTCAAGGTCTCCTTCAGGAAACCTTCTCTACCCCAGAGACGCCCTCGGCCCCACGAAGTCTGTTCATCCATTAGACACTGATTAAGCACCTGCTCCATGCCGGCCCTTCTGCAGGCCCCTGGAGATGCAGATGGGAGCAGAGATGAGGAAGACACAGTCTCAGCCCTCCTCGGGCTGCTGGCTGGGTGCAGTGGGATTCACTTTTTGGTGAGACCCTTTGGTTTTATGGTCATTCTGGCCCCAGCACTGCATTCTCTGGGCTGCCAGAATCCTCTGAGAACACCGCCTATCTCCCCCACCAACAGGCTCCTCTGGGCTCTCAAGTCAGAGAAACCTGTGTACAAATCCTACTTCTGCAACTTGGTACCTATGCATCCGTGCAAAGTACCCACACTCTCTGAGACCCAGTTTCCCCAACTCTAAGAAGGTAATAAGGGTGCCTCCCTGTCCTGAGGATTAACTGGGATACTGTGTGCAAAGCAAGTGCCTGGCACAGATAAATGCACAGTAAATGTCTGCTATTAATTATATCATCACTGCTCTCTGACGAACAGAAAT